ATAACTTGAACAGTAATTAGTATTTATTTGTGCTTTAAAAGTTTTTATTTTAATTATTTTTTTACCATGCAGTTTTTAATTTGTTTCGTCTCTAATGATTTAATGTGTATTTTTATTTTAAGTACTGAAGCTAAGATTTCTCAGTTGAAAACAATAACACTAACTAGCTACACATTTTGATACTGAAAATAAAGCAATAGTTAACAGTAGAAATTATTCGTTAATTAACTTGTCTGGGTAAAGAAAGAGCAAAGACATTTTAGTGTGCCTTTTTTTATTTGCTCTCTAAATTCATTTTGTTTTTAAGTTAATCATTTGGCATTTGTCAATAATAAAATTTTTAAAAATGATTACGGCTGTACTTTGTAAGACGACGTGTAGAGACACGTGCTGGGGACTTAACTCTCGTTAGTAACCAAACTACTTCCTTCTTTTTCAATCTTGTCTGTCCAAACATGCTTTTAAATTAAACTTTAGTTCTACACGAAAAGACTAACCATAGTAAAATTTGAAATACGAATGTCATTGGTTTTACAGTTTACTTTTATACTCATACATAGGTTTGTATTCCAATTAACTTACCACTAATAAGATTATTAGTTAAAAAATCTTAGGATACTGCTAGACTCCGAGTGAGAAGTTTTACGAAGGGATGCTGATAAAATCTTAAGCGCGCTGCATCAATTATTACTTGAAGCTATGTTCCTAAACTTGAATATATTGTGGACATCGAGTGTTTTTAGAATTATTAGGCGGATCGTCGCTCTTGCTCTGAAAATTAATTTTCTTTGTTCTTAGTTTAAAAAAAAAATTAATGATGAGTCAAGTGTAATCCAATCATCTATTTTCCCGCTGTGGCCTAATGCTCTAACTTTCATTCTTTGTTCGAGTTTTTATCTCTCTTTTTTTAAAATAAATTAATGAGATTTTACATGTCCTTTCTATTGAAGGTTACCAAATATTTATTTACTAGGTTAGAAATGTACGAGGAGCAGGGGGAGTTCACAACCCAACGATCCGCATCTAAAATAAATAAAAAAACATTCAGTTGCCATGGAAATATTGATATATTTTTTCTAAGTTACTCGGATCGAGAACTTTTCAGCATCCCCTTCTAAAATTTAACACAGGATAACTTAGCACTTAAACAGTATCCGAATAATTTTTATATTCATTTTATTTTTTAATTTGTTCATTTAAAAAAAATAAATCTCTCCCTAACAGATGAACAGATTAAAGAAAACTTGCTTTGTAACGAAAAAAATAATTTGGAGAAATATTCTTCTTTACTTTGGTTGGCCTAAAATTAGATTTATTTATCTTTTCGTAGTAAACCAGTTACTTACTAGATAACTTTGTTATCCCACAATGAAATAGATAATTTAATTTTCAATACTATAGCTTTTAAAAGAAGTTAAAAACACATGAATTATTAAATACATGAAATAATAATTTAAAAAAAAAAACAAAACTCTAATTTTACAGTTGGTACCCACAAGCAAATTCCTTTGTCCCAAAACTTAAAAATATCAAGGGAATGTATGGTTTTCTTTTACTTTTGGGCCAAAACTAAAACCATAAACTCCCTTGATATTTTCACTTTTAAATACCATGATAACAAGGCTGTTTGGTGCAAATAGCAATCCTAAAAATAGGTAACATCTCAACATTAAAGTAAAAAATGTTTTTACTCGTGTATGTTCCTACTACTAGTAGTTACTTGAAGGTAAATTGTTCTTTACACAAAAAAGTAAAACTGTCTATATAACTATGTGAATGGGAAAATGATTAGTTTAAAATCTAAATTGAAAGTTGTCCTATATTGAATTTAAGTCATTTTTAGATTCAAACTTGCTTCTAAACTCAATTTCACTAAAAGAGAAATAAAAAAACAAAAAAATATGTGATGCTTTGATTACAAATAGTTTTTAAAAGATATTGCTGTAAATGAAATATCTGCAAGAAAAACTGTCTTCAATTTCAGACCAATTTATCTTCATCTTTTCTTTTTTTTATTATTAATAATTAATATCAACAACAAAACTGATATTCTGATATTTTAACTCTAGTGTAAATGATAAATTCTCATTGCAGAAATTCAGCCAGAATTTATTCTAGATATCTGAAATGTACATCATGACTAACTAAATTTTATAAAAATTTAACTAAAACTAATCTATAATCAATAATCTCCAAAAACAAACCACTCAGCAAAAATGATATCAAGAAAATTTGGAACTTTGAAGCCATGACTGAAAGATTTCTTCTTGAATAATTACCATATTTGAAGGAATAAAAATATCTTTCCTCATCATCCAGCTTTCTCTATGCAATGGATCTTTTTAATACACATTGATAAACCTGGCTGTCTCATAAACTGGTACCACCAATCTGTTGAATAAAGTCTAAATCTTTCATTCTTTTGTTAATTTCCTAGCCATGGTAGAGTAATGGATAACAGGTCGGATTGAGGAATCTGAGAGCTAAGTTTGAATTCCAGTCAAATCCATTACATTCACTTACATGCTAATACCCTTGGGAAAGGTATGAATCCTCTTCTTTTCCTCCAGCTATGGGTAAATAGCAGGACAGACTGGGTTTTATAGCCTTGGATGTCAACTGGTCTACTGCAGGAAGAAATGGCATCCTACTGCTGGGAAAAATCTGCCTTGTCAGTCATGTATTGAAAGTTACATGATCACCTAAGCATGGTACATAACTAACTGACTAATAATACTTCTCCCTGAATTCCTCTAACCTACCACCCACTTTTTTTACGTTACTCTCAAGTTCAGGCCAATGTGGTGCCAGTGAAGGTTATATTTATCCTTTTAAGTTGTCTTCATTTGATCTTCACGCTGTTGTTAAACACATTTCATTTTTCAGTAAGCAGTGGGCCAAACACTTTTCCTGTTGCTCTGTTTCCAGGCTCCTTAGCATAGTCTATCAATTATAGTTTGTAATTAATGGTATAGCTTAATCTCTTAGCTCTTTCAGACATGTTCATGAGGGTTAAATTCTGTAAACTCAACCAGTACTGTTCATGCTGTGTCTATTGGTACCAAGCAGTCACCACATGTAGACCTACTCATCCCTTCACCAGTTCTTTCATCATATTGTATGATGGTGGACATATTTCTCTGTAGCCTTAATGTTATGTTTCTAAGGTTAGTGTTTTACCATTACAAGTATTTCCTTGCATATCTTTCTTTAGTTTCCAGTTAGTTAATGCTGGTATTTTCAGCCATATTTATATGTGAGGGATCAGCTGGCACTAATGAACATCACCAGTACTTTATGATGATTCTTATTTTGTTGCCATCATCAGCAACAATAACAATATTGTTTGAGCAAATATTATTACAGGGTTGGGTTAGATGGAAGTGATGGTCTGAGGTAAAATTTTAATGCAACAAATTATACAGCACTTATTTAATTAAGCCTGTTACTTAGAATGATTACTTTGCTACTTATTTCTAAAAACCATCTTTGGCAATAAGAAGTGACAGATGGCTATAAAAAGGTATTGTTAATTGTTTTCAGCTAATTAGTTTAATAAATGCACTGGATATTGTTTGTGTCATGTGGCAATAATTGTAAGTAAAATGATGCACATAAGCAATCATTTTAAGTTCTGAATATCAATGCCAAATTATAGCCTACAGTAGTGAGCATTAGGGATAAAATTAGCCTATGAAAGGCCTACATATAAGGTTCAAAGCTTTTTCTTGCATGTGTTGGGTGCCTTGTATGCCATCAAATATGGTAATCATTTTTTAAAATTTTCTTTAACTTGAGTTCAGTCTTTCATAAATTTTTGCTTTTTATTTTTCTGGTACTCCAGCCATTCACAAGTCACTTGATCTTTTTGAAATTTTATAAGCAGTTTTAGCTACATATGCACATAGTTTGTTAGATTAACTTTGGAACAAAGCCTTCTTCATGGGAGGCTTAAATTTATCAATGATTTGGAAAAGTCATAAACTTAGTTGGTGCTATTGAATCTTAATTCTAGGTTGTCTATCTAATTATCATATAAAATATCAGAATTAATCTTTAGATGCAGATTAATTTGGTACAAGTTTGTTTATTCTTATGAAATACCATGCAATTATTTTTGTTTCACTCTTTACAGTGAATTTATTTTACAATTTTCCCAAATTTCAAATTACCTCACAAATTGAATTTAAATTTGAGTTATCTACCCGTTATGCTATATATATATATATATATATATATATATATATATATATATATATATACTAGTAGGTAGTTTTGCTCATGAATATTTGGTTTGGATCATTCCCGCAGAAACCAATAAAGTTGCTAAAAGATATAAAATATATTGTAAATATATCTACAGTATGTTTTTGCCACTTGTATTTGGCTTACTGTCAGTTCTGTCAAAGCTGATCATCATCAAATAAGTTCATCTATTTTCTCCCCTCACCCACACACACATTTCAAACTTATCAGTCAAGAATGGCTTGCAACTCCTCTTGGGCATTCATAAGTCTACATCTGGTTGTCATGGTATCAGTATTTAATCATTTATCAATGAAAGATCACAAAATAAATCATTAATTTTATGCCCACCATTGCTACCTAGAAGCTGCTAGGTTGCTTGGTATGATTCAATAGCATATACCACTCTATGGCCAATTGATATCATTAGATTCAATTATAAATAAATGCATGTTTGACTGGCCAGATTTGGCTGGTTGGTTGAGAAAGTATTGAAAAATATTAATTGTGGATTCAGAGCCAACAAGCCAGCTTTTTGAGTAAATTCACAAACTTTTTAATGTGCTTAAACTTGAAAAAAATGTATTAAGACATCATGTTTTTATTTTATTTTTCATAGGTTTACAAATTTTAGGATATATAACATATTTTTGTATGTTTTTATAATTGTGCAATATTACTTATTTTCAATGTTATTATTAATAACTGCTATTTGCTAATTAATTCTTTATTTACTCTTTTTAGGACAAAGCAGGATGTCCTCAAAGACCTCCATAGAGCATAATTATGGGCAACAAATATGTCAACCACTCCATATCCAACGTTTGGAAAAGGCTTTATATTTGGAGTCATTCTTGGCATATCTAACTAAAGTTCTTAATACACCTATAGATGAAGATAGGTAAGTCTTATGTAATTTTTTTTTATTTGTTTTGGTTGAATGTTTTTAACCAGTTATGCCTGAGAACCAGTGATTGTTCAAGTCATCAGATTATAACTGAGTGATAGTTACTTTCTAGTTTTAACAATTTTCTGTATATTTCTACTAAACTGCTAATGAATTTTTAATGAAAATGATAGCACTAGGAAGTTGAGTTTTAAAAATTGGAAATATGAATAATATATAAGCAAGCCTGAATTAGACACCATGGTAACAACACAGTGCATCTTTAAAATTAGAGAATAATTAAAGATAAATATTTGAACAGTAGAGAAAAAATATTGTTTTTAAAATAGTATCTTATATTTAAATATACATATTGTGGAAAAACAATGATTTACAAGAACTTCATAAAACATAATATTCATTATAGAAAAATAAACCTCTGTTTATAATATTAACATTTCTGAGGTGAAATATTGTCAATTATTAATTTGTGGGTATTATTTTCTTCATGTTAATTTTTGTTGCTTTTTTAACCATGTGTTATGAACCAATTGTTGCAACACAAAATATAAAAGAAAATGATTAAAAAAAAAAACAAAAAAAAAACTACTTGTTGCCAAAGGATATGGCCAAGGTTTTCACTCCATTAGTGGTGTGTGTTTTCTTGCAGTATCAAATATGCATGGATAAGGAGAAATAACCAATAGTGACAAATGACAAACACCAGAATCAGATTTAATTATACATTAGAACAACATAGAAAATACTTCTGCATGTAAAGATGTGTGCTGTATATGGAATATGAAAATCAAAAGAAACACTTAGCTGTTGTCCATTGTCTAAAATAAAACATTTTCTCTTTTTTCCTTTCTATTTTTTTATATTTGTCTTTACCCCCCCCCTTCAGTTCAGTCCTTTACTTCATATTCACGCATGCAGGAATATCTTTTCAATTCTGTTTCTTTTTCTTTACTGTTGCAAGTTTTGACCCCAAGTGATGGTTGTTCCCTTTTCACGTCTTCAGCAATATAAAATTTCTCTTTCAGTTCAGAAGATTCATTGTTGTGTTGATCATTGGTTTCTCCAATTTGATAATTGGATGAATCACACATGCTCTTGTCCTAGGTGATTAGCATGTTCAGTAATTCACTATTGCATTTTGGTCAATGAAAGATCACAAAATAAATCATTAATTTTATTCCCACCATTGCTATATGGATGCTACTAGGTTGCTGCTTGGTATGATTCAATAATGTATACCCTTCTATGGCTAATTGGTATCATTAGAATCGGTTGTAAATAAATGCATGTCTGACTGGCAGGTTGCTTGAGAAAGTATTGAAAAATATTGTGGATTCAGAACCAACAAACCAGTTTTTTTGAGTAAATTCACAAGCTTTTTAATGTGCTTAAACTTGAAAAAATGCATTAAGACCATATATTTTTATCTTTATTTTTTTTTTTTTTTTATTTCATTGGTCTACAAAACTTCTTTCTCTCTCACATTTTTTTTTCTTTTAGTCCATTCTTATTTCTTATTTGTATGAGCAGGAATATATTTTAAATTCTCTTTCTTTATTGTTGCAAGTTTTGACCCCAAGTGATTGTCTTCAGCAGTATAAAGTTTCTCTTTCAATTCAGAAGATTCAGCATCATGTTAATCATTGCTTTCTCCAATTCGATAATTGAATGAATCACATATGCTCCTGTCCTCACTGATTAACATTGCATTTTGGTCTGGGACTGTCATCTATCAAATATATGTCCACATGCAGCATAGTGTGTGTGAGTTAGGACTAGGCTTCAGTCTCTTCATTATGCAATTCCTTTTAGTTGACTATAACAAAAGAAAGGGTGTTAATTGCTTAAGCTCTGCAGTCCAACTGATTCTTCAGATATTTTTCCCACATAACCTTTCATATTATATCATGGTTCCGCATGTGCGTGAGATGCTACTTTTAGATTTCAGCCAATTTTGTTTCTAGGGTCAGTCATTTGGCTCTCCAACAGTTTATCTGACTGCTGATTTCAACAAGTTGATTGTGGGAGAGTAGGTGAATGTTACAGTTAGCAACTGAAGGAAAGAGAGATGGTTCGCTATAGTTGTAAAATGTAGGGAGGGTTGGGCTGTATAGTAATGTAACATCCCCATAAAGGACCGTCAATTTCTTTTTTTTTCTCTCTCTCTCTCTACTGTCCAGTGTACAGTCAAATATGAAGTAATGCACCAGCACATTTCTTTTCTATGCCTTTAATATGTTCAATTCTTAAATTAAGTTCCTGTAACACCAAGCTCCATGCTAGAAGGTGTCTATTCTTGTTTTTCATCTATAAAAATCTAACAGGTTGTGGTCTGTAAAAACAACACTAGGTGACTGCAAAATTGTCACATAAATTTCAGTGTTGTAAACTAGATATTAGTGCTAGGGCTTCCTTTTCTATTGTGGAATATGCTTTTTGATGTTAGTTATTATTCTCAAAAATTTTATAAATGAGATGCATTTTATTCTGATCATCAGCTTGTAATGATACTGCCCCAATAAGTAGATTGCTTGCATCAACAGCAATAGCAAAAGGCTGACTAAAATCTGGAGCTTTAAGTACCAGATCTGTACTTAACAAATTTGATTTATCAAAGACTTCATGACATTTCAAGTTTGCAGTAATACCCCATCATACCTAAAAATCTTTGTAAACCTTTCACATTATCAGGGATTGGACACCTCATAATATCTTAGTCCTTAGCACTAAGCGGAGAGATTCTCCCATGCCCCACAATGTGTCCTAGATAGGTTATTTCTGCTTGGCAAAAAATTGCTCTTCATTAAATTAATAGTAAGATTCTCTAAATTAAGCCTGTCAAAAACCTCCCTCAAAGTTAAGAGGTGTTCTTCCTAAGTATCACTATATATAGCACAATACTGAAAACTCCCACTGGGGGTCACAAAAACTGATATCTGTTTAGCCCTATCAGTTAATGGTACAGCCCAATAACCTTTTTAAAAGATCACACTTTGTAAAAAAAATTTAACCTTTCCAATTTTGTCTATACAATCATCCATTCTAGGAATGGGATGGGAATCTGTTTTGTTAAGCTTATTTATCTTTCGATAAACCATACAAAACCTGATTGACGTGTCGTGTTTTTCTACCAATACGCATGGTGAAGCCTATTCATTTTGGCTGGATTCAGTAATTCCTTTTCTTAACATATATTGTATTTCAGGATCCATAAATTCAGCTTTCTGCAGATTTACATGATGGGGATTTTATTGGTTTAGCATCTCCTACATCTATATCATGAGACGTCATAGGCATCTCATATTCCAAGATAAGGGCAATTAACTCATCCTTCTTTGTGGTTAGTAAATGTACTAATTTGTTATCAAGGTCAACTAATACTTCAGAGTTATCTTGATCTACATATAACTCCCATTTCCTTTTAAGGTGTCTATCCTCTTAAGATTCTTGGATAGCAAATATGGGTCTATCATTCATTCTTCTCAAATACGATTTAATCATGTTTGCATGACATTTTGGCGGCGTCTTTTTACAATCAGGTGTATTCACTATATAGTTGAGATCACTTATCTTTCTCTTTATGTTGTATGGACCCTGAAAATTAGTTTTAAGTGAATGGTTATTTGTAGGTAATAAAATTAGAACTTCGTCACCTATCTCAAATTTTTGCTCTGCTGTTTTTCCTATCGTAACATCCTTTTTCCTTTCTTTTCTGTTTTTTTTGGGGGGGCGGTTGAACACTTCTGAGGTGTCCTTGAGCTAACATATTTGCTTCAGATATTTGTCTTCTGAATCATTCTACATAATCTAACAAATGCACTCTGCTTGGGTCATCCTGTAACCATTTTTCCTTTGTCACTTGCAGTGGACCTTTTACCTTTTCCAAATATAAGTTCAAATTGACTGAATCCTAGGAATTCCTGGACTGATTCGCAAGCTGCAAACATTAGGAATGGAATGCCCTCATCCAATTCTTTCTGGTTATCGAGACAATAAATCCTCATCGTATTCTTTAGGGTGGAGTGAAATCTCTCCAGAGCTCCCTGTGATTGTGGATGGTAAACACTCACTTCTATAGAAGTTATGCCCAATTGTTTGACCACTTGCTGAAATAGCCATGACATGAAATTTGACCCTTGGTCCAATTGTATTACCTTAGCTAAACCCACCTTGTTAAAGAAATTAAGAGCTTTCACTATCTTCTTGGCTCAAATATTCTGCAGGGGAATGGCCTCAAGAAACTTTGATGATGCACACATGATGGTCAGCAAGAATTTATTACCTGATTTTGTCCTTGGTAGTGGACCTATGCAATCTACAATTACCCAACTGGATGGTTCTTCAAAGACTGGAATAGGATGTAGGGGTGTAGTTAGGATTTTCTCATTTGGCTTTCCCACCATTTGACATATATGACAAGTTCTAGAAAATTTAACTACGTCTTAACTCCAGGCCAATAAAAATGTTTGAAAATTCTTTCACAAGTTTTATTCGTTCCTAGGTGCCCTGCTAATGGAATTTTGTGAGCTGTCCTTATATGCTCTTAGAACTACAATTTGTTCACAAGTTTCCCAGTCTTCCAAATCTGGGATCTGAGGTGGTTTCCATGTCCTCATTAATACACTATTTTTGATATAATAGGACTGTGGTATATTATCAAGATTATCCCCTGGCTTTGCTTTACTAATAAATTGTGTTAGTTTGGGGGCAGACTGTTGTTCAGTAATCAGATTGCTCTTTAACATAGAGATGCCTGAGGCAGGCTCATCATTACCAATGCTCCTTCCCTTTTCTAATTCGTTTCAACACTGGCGAGGTAACATTATGGTTCAAAAATCTTTGGGATAAGTCTATTTGCTCACATTTTTTTCACTATTTATCAATCTTGCTTGTGCACAAGTCACTGTGCCTGAAATTACATTAGCTGTTTTAAGCTTCTTGCTCAAACCCTTTTTTCTTAAGCAGACTGGTTTTCTCTGTTTGTTCAGAGAAGA